TATGCTATCCAAGTTTTCAAAGCGGTTCTTTATAGACGAGAGTCTTCCATGTCGGAATAGTTTTCCTCCATTCTGGCCTTGAGTTGTTCCATCTTGCCTTCCCATGCATCCATCTTCTTTGCTATCATTTACCTCGCTATGATACCAATTTGATATGCCTTGAAAGTGAAAACAACGAAAGAAAGAATAGAAAATTGCAGGAATACCCCAAATGATGGGTGATTTTGAATTATCACTTCAATGCAAAAACAAGATACAAGTGATCTATGTTTAGAGAGGTAGATTGACTCTCCAAAATAACCTAGATGCTACTAGGAAGCCCTCACAAAAAGAACTATAACAAAACACTAATCAAAACATAAACCTAATACAAAATAACTCGCTCTAAATAAGCTCTTCTTATTTTCATTTTACAAAAAAAAAAAAAAAGCTCTTCTTATTTCCCCACAAAATAGCTTTGTTGCCTTAATTCCCTCTCTTATTTTGAATTCAAATTGGAATTAAGCGGCGATTAATTTCTTTCTCATTCCTTATCCGTACATATGGAATCATATAGCTTTGTTGGGTCCCAAAAGCGGGGGCCAAACCCTCCCTGGTTTTTCCAGGCTCCGCCCGGTCTGCCTCCTCTTGCTGGAATGGCTTGCTGGGTTGGCCCAGCCTGTTGCCACTCCTGCTGCCGTATCAGTAAATTAGGAAAGATATGAGTAGCATATGTCAGCAGTTTTTGTTTCATTGTTAGGGCACCATGTTCCCCGTATTGTTCCAATCTTCCCATAAGCTACACTTGCTACCTTCTCAGTAGAAGAAAACAGTGAAAAATAAGAAATCTATAAAGGAAGTAAAGTGGCATGCTGAGAGAAGTTAATGCCGTAGCAATTCTATCAAATTAAGAGCATATTGAATTTATATCCTGTCTAATTAGTTGTTGCAGAAAGGAACCTCTCAGAAATCTTATTTAACCTCCACATAAATATTGTTTATAAAATTCAATTATTTTTTAGTCAATAATCACATTTGGAGAGTTTTCCTCATTATGCTTCTTGTTGTACATATACCTACATTCAAAATTCTTTATAACTGAATTTCAAAAAGTATAATATAAGCAATTATAGTACTTGAAAGAAGATATGAGTGTTGTTATAATCAAAGCATTACCATATAAATAACAGGCGAACTAAAATTTTAATGAATATGTCTATTAGAATGCTAGATCTGACCTGTAATACTTCTTGGATAGGATTGATATCCAAGTACTTCCAATTGGATATGGATAGTTTTTTCTTGGTGTTATAGTGTTTAAGAGTTTCACTCGCCTATCACTGATCGAGACTGCGGGATAGATTTCCAGCCTAACTACCTAAGGCAAATTAAATCTGATGAAGTTTCCCACAATCCCTTCAGGTAATCCTACCAAGTGAGTTTTATAGGACTTAGGAGAAAAAGAGCAAAATTAACAAATTAGGAATCACACCATTATGAGGAAAAATAACCAATTTGGACATATAATACTAAAATATTGAATGAGATTGAAAGAGCATTTACAAACTCAAGCGAATGTTCAGATAGAAAAATATACTGTTTGCTTTTCCATTGAATTCTTCTACTGTTTGATTCCGCTTTGCAATTACCTTTGGTTCCTTACCGTTTTTTCCCAAAACAGTGAGCAATCTCGTTGTATTTATTGTTTTTGGTGAAAAGGACAGTAGCAAGAATCCCAATTATCTTCTTTGGATTCACTCCTGCGTCAGGAATAGGAAGGAAGCAATGACTTTTTAGTGTAGACAGAGTCATAATCTGAAGGTAACCTGAAGACCAGTGGATGATAGGTGCCAGTTCAGGTGCTGTTCCTGCCACTGGAGAAGAAATTACAAAGGATGCAGCAGATGAGTTTGGGAGGGCTGCGATCTCTGGTCCTGTGCAGGAATCTGAACTTTTGTTGCTTTTGATAGATAGTGGAAAGGGAATAGATAGCTGGTTGCTAGATAAATTCAAGGGAAGTATTGAATTTGCAGATTTTATTAGATTCAAAGCTAACTGAATTTCAAAGCAGTATCCTAATTTTTCTAAATGTAGTAGGGCAAGGATTATAGAGTTTAGATTTGAACGTATCTAGAATGCATAAGGATGCATTAAAATTTAAAACAACTCATTTTCCTTAAAATCAAGTTACCAAACCTAATTTAAAGGCATATTTTGTGGAACTATCCAAATTAAAATTACATAAAAATATTTAACTAAATTACCTAAATTTCAGTTATTAACTGCCAAATTTTCAGGAAAATTCAATTAGTAATTTTTATACATGTATTTCTATTGGGGCTAAGCTTATGGGTTTTTTGGTATGTGTGCGTTTGTCTATATATATATATATATATATATGGGGACATTAGAGCATGAATCGTATATCAGAGGCGTGGCCGTTGATGTACGGCCACAATCACGTCGATGTATTTTGAGTTATTTCATGTATTTGTTTTATTTTGTTATTTGTTATTTATGTTGTATTTTGTTTTTCCCGTTTTACCCATTGCTTAAGGGAAGTCATATGTAAGCCCTAAGGGCATTGTCGTCTTTCTTATTTTGAGTCTTATGTATGAAACTATTTATAGCCCCTATGTTTCTCTTTGAAAATTAATGATTGAATGATTAGAAAAAGCTTTCCCCTTGCTTGAGTTCTTGTTAGATCTTGAGAGTGCTTGAGTGGTGAATCCCTATGAGAGGGAACTCGTATCACCCACCAAACTTGGAGACGGTCGGGTTCGTGATTTTACCTTCCCTTATATTGGGAAATTAAATTAGGGAAGAAAGATATCATCCTAATTTAATTTAAATTCAAATAAGCAAGCATTCAGAAACTTTCCTGAAATAAATCTCTTAATTTAGGAAAGAATTTAAATTAAATTAGGATGATATCTTTCTTCCCTAATTTAATTTCCCAATATAAGGAAGCATTAAAGGCTCCATAAATTTCGACCACCTAACCCCACCTTCCCCAAGTTGCCGGCCTTCATAAAATCCCCTCCCTCCACCCGCCGGATTTCCCCATCTCCCCTTAGCCGCCGTCCTTATTCTACCGTCCTCCCCCTATCACCCTTCCACACATCAATTCCTCTTAAACACTTTCCTTAAACAATTATTCCTTAGTTGGGAAGATTTTAAATTCAAATTTGAAATTATTTGAGTTTGAATTCTTTCCTAAATTAAGAGATTTATTTCAGGAAAGTTTCTGAATGCTTGCTTATTTGAATTTAAATTAAATTAGGATGATATCTTTCTTCCCTAATTTAATTTCCCAATATAAGGAAGCATTAAAGGCTCCATAAATTTCCTCCCCTAGCCCCTAAGCCGCTGGCCCCCCTATTAAATCCCAAGGGATTTGTTTCCTAAATCCCACTCTCCACTTAGGGAATTAATTCAAATAGCCTCTTCCCGCCCTTGGCCGATATCTCATAATCCCCACACCTTATTTTCTTTCCTAAAGCAAGCATTGAGATTTGGAAACAAATCACCCACCCTAGCTCCCACTCATGCCGCCGCCCCTACCTCTCTCCATCCCCTTTTAATTAATTCCAAGCTTAAGGATTTATTAAAGGATTGATTGGCACCTAAACCTCCCAAAATCTGAACTCAATTTCCCAAACCCTTTTCCCTCATGGCCGGCCACTTAATCCATCTCCTTCCTTGAGGGTTTGCGAGATAAGCTCCTCCCTCTCAATAGGAGCCTTCAAGGGAAGTACCGTCTAGCGTGCTCAACACTTCAACACTAGAGAAATTACTTTCTCTCTAAGTTGAACCTTCAAGAAAATTACGACGAACTTTTTCAACATCTCGACTACTTGTTTTCGGATTTTAACTAAGGTGAACTTCTTCCCCTCTTCAATTACCTTTTTAATCCCCTAATCTTATAGGTGATGGCGAATCACAAGGAGCCGAGTTTCTCCTTATGCCTAAGCTTAGTAAACGTAGGATTTTGTTTCACCGTTGCCAAAGCTTAGTAAACGTAGGATTGAGTGCACTTTCTATGCTTCTAATCTAATTGTTAGATTAGAGATTTTGTTGTAAGCTATTTACTTTGCATGTTATTGAATTTCTAACTTGTTTTGATTTTCCAAGTGCTTGGCAAGTGGCTTAGCCTAAACGAAGGCACCTCTCTCTTGTTTTCTATTGTCGTTTTGATTGCTAACAATTTTAATCATACTTATTTAATTCAAGAAATCATGCTAATCAATATTCCATCCATTTAAAATCATTTAGTTCTACATCAATATATTTACGTAGAAGTCTTCAATGATTCATCAGAACTTGTGTTTAGATTGAACTGTGCTAGTCATTCACGATTCCTTGTGTTTTTTGGCTCATATTTGAGTGGAAGATGCATTGGAGATCTTCTAAAGTGTGATCCTCCCGGATCAAGGGTAGGAGAAAATTTTATTAAAATTAAACAATTGGCTTACTTTGAGAGGTAAGCTAATTATGAAACTGATAAGACTGTTCATCTTTTCATTGGAATTCGACTTCAAATAATCATTCCCTACTTAGTGTCCTCTAAGCATGCATGTGTAAAGAAGCTTAACTGTTTACTTCCAAAAGTATTGAAGTACATGTGACTATCTATGTGGATCTTAAACAGCTAATATGACTGAAAACATTGTTCACTTGGATTCTATTTTACTTAATAGTGGTCATTTATTCATCTAGTTTTTTTGTTGAAGCATATGGAAATGTAGAAATTTTGTTAATTTTCCATTTTATGTATAGTTTCTTCCTTTATCTAATGGAATATTGTTTCTGATTGCAACTCCATATTGTTTTATCCTCTGCCTTCGCAAGCAAAGTAAATTTTGTTTAAAACTATCCTCTCTTTGAAACAATTTTGGATGCAAGTATGATGCCTTTGAATCAGAGTAGTTTTCAGAGCAGTGTATCATTTTACCTGAGTTTCTAACTTATTTTTTCATTCTAATGCGTGTAACGGACTTGCACCTTTCCAACTTGTGCAGGTTTCAGGACTTGAATTCTGAGAGAGCCTTGATCACAGGGAGGATATCCTCGTGTGGAAAAGGAAAAAGATTCAGTTGGATAGTGAAAATCTTTTACAAATTAGTTCAGTTTATACAGGAAACAATTAGAAGTACTTCTTTTGACAAGTCTATGAAAGATTCAGCTCTAGAAGAACCACAGTCTAGGAAAAAAGTACTTGATCCTCAAGGAACTTTTCTTCAAAGGTGGAACAAAATTTTTGTTCTTTCTTGTGTGATTGCAGTATCAGTGGATCCCCTATTCTTTTATATCCCAATAATTAATGATAATAATAATTGCCTTTATCTGGATAAAAAGTTAGAAACCACTGCAAGTACCTTGCGGTCTTTCACGGATATCTTTTATGTACTCCATATTATTTTCCAATTTAGAACTGGTTTCATTGCTCCTTCATCACGAGTTTTTGGAAGGGGTGTTTTGGTTGAAGATTCATCAGCAATAGCAAAAAGATATTTGTCTTCATACTTCCTCATCGATATACTTGCTGTCCTTCCTCTTCCACAGGTATGAAGCCCTTTTCATGTTGCATGTATTATCATAATGGATAGCCTTGTTAAATGTGGTCATCTTGTTACAAAGTGATTGATTGATGTGTAACATTAGTGGTTTCTTGCAGGGAAAAGATAAATGTTTCTTCTCACTTAAGCCTAAGAAGTTTATTCTGTGATTTTTTTTCTTTCACCCACATCAAATATTTTCTAATTGAGTTTTTTGAGCTGATGTACATTTATATTGCTTTGGGCCTACATTTTTATGGAAGATGGTCTACATTGTATTCTGCACTTGAAATTACTGAAACGGTTAGCCTTAGGTAGGGGTGTAATTGAGTTGAGCTTTAGCCACAGCTAATTTAAGCTTGACTTAGTTATCTTCCTCTACTCTTGAACTTGAGCTCGACTGGCTACATGTTGAGCTCAGCTATGTTGGCATACTAGTGTAACCTTTGTCCTGCAAAGAAGGTGGTGAGTGATGTGGTATGCGGGTTTGTTCAATAAAGAAGAAAGTTGAGAAAGAGTGGGGTATGTTTTTCCTCATTTGGTTTCGACTACGAAAGCATTCACAATAGTGATGGAAATGATAACAAGGCATCAATGGTGGATAAAAAGTCTAAGTCTAAGTTATTAATGGTGTCGACAATGTCAGAGTAATCGACATTAAAAATAAGAATTTAAAAAAAAAAAAAACAATCTTATAGTTTCTAGATAGTAAAAATAAAGAGAAGCTTAAAAAAAACAATGTATTTTTATGTGTCTGAGGTATTAATGGTGTCGACAATGTCAAAGTAATAGACAGTAAAAATAAGAATTAAAAAAAAAAAACAATCTTATAGTTCTAGATAGTAAAAATAAAGAGAATCTTAAAAAAAAAAAAGCAATGTAGTTTTATGTGAAATTATGGCCTGCAAATGGGATGAGATTTCATTTGAAATTACAAAAAAGTTCTTTGGTTATTATATTCTGAGATATTTATTTAATTTTAGACTGTCGAATCTTATGTCAGTCATATCTAACGGCTTAAAGTAAATGAGTTTCTAAATAGTTATTCTGAGTCGTGTAATTGGGAACTTATGGCTTGAATAAAAATTCTCTGTTTAAGTTTTAACCTCATAAGAACAATTTTAATGCGTGATTCTTTCAAATGCGACACTAGTGTGAGTGCCTAATTCTGAGATAAATCATTTCTTTGTACCAGTGTGAAGTATAATTTTTTTTCTTATTTTGATATTTTATATTTCATCTGCATAATTTGTTGTTGCTTATTGGTGGCCGTGATGTTGGTAATAATTTGATAAATTTGAAACCCAATTTAAAAAACGCAAGTTCTTTTACTTGCTGATTTTTTATGATTCTGAATCCTTGCTCAATTTCTCATATTATTTCAATTATTTCATTATTAGTCGGGTTATGATTCTAGTATTGCTCATTTACATTTAAAGAAAGTATTATTTTAATTTATTTGTGATTTATGATCTGTCCTCATTTTTCTATGTTAAGAAAGGTAGAGGTAGATCTAAAAAGATTTGATTAGAAAGTATTAGAAATCGCTTTTTTTTATTAGATTTAAATGAGAATTTGATAGGACAGTAGAGAAAAAAGGATTCATGTATTATATTAAAAAACTGTTTCAATGTTTTATATTATCTTCAAAAAATTTATTGATTAAATTAAACCGAGAAGCACACTCATTTGAAGCGTGTGATACAATGGAATGGTTTTCCCTTTTATTATGATCATCACTATCTTTACATTACATGTACGAATATCATTAAGAAGATCTTTGGAGCTGAAAGTTAGTGGTTCATCCTGAGTGGCTGTAGTCCATGGTTAATAAAAATGAAACAACTTTGGATGCAACTCTATTTCTCTGAAACTTGGTTACTATTGAGACCATAACAGAATGGTAAGAGTAAGAACAAATTGGCCAGGATTTGGTGGTTGAGTAATGCCGTTCCATAGAAATGGTTTAATGGCCAATAGTTTTAGGCCCTATAAGTTGGGATAGACGGTCAATATAAATTTGAAGGACTATTCAATATGAAACCCAACTCTTATGGAAATTCAATGGAACATCCTGAATCTCGCTTTTCTAATTGTGCATTTGAAGTAAGTTTCAACTTAATGTAGCTTGCTTCATATTTCTAGCACATAACATCATTACGCTGAAGTAGATTTCTCCCTTTTTTTTCTTTGTTTTTCCTTGTTGAGATGTGTGTGAACATGCTTGGTTATTGAATATTTATGCATCCTATTTTTTATTTGCGGTCCATTATTGCTGAAAGACTACCGTAGATAAGGCTTCTGTTGATATTGGATGTGCAATCTATTTCCGCTATGGTTAGTACTTAATATATTTTCTATACGTGTTTCCTGTTCATGTTGTCATTGTAAGATACGATGGTTCATCTTTCTTGGCAAGCATTATGACAATGCATTTCTTTTATCTAACATTCAGGTAGTCGTACTGATCATAGTGCCAAGATTGAAAGAGTCATCTCCATTGGATGCGAAAGACCTATTGATGCTTATTATCTTATTCCAGTATGTCCCTAGACTTATAAGGATCATACCCTTGTATATGGAAGTGACTAGATCAGCTGGAATAATCACTGAAACAGCTTGGGCTGGGGCTGCCTTCAACCTCCTGCTTTACATGCTTGCAAGTCACGTGAGTTCATTTTTCTCGTTTGTGTTGTCTTATAATATTCTGAAAGGAAGTTCTGAAAGAATAAACTTACATGATTCCTGATGGAGGCCTGTGTACTCAATAAAATCTTTCAGGTTCTTGGGGCATTCTGGTACTTGCTTTCAGTTCAACGAGAAGATGCATGCTGGAAACATGCTTGTTCAATAAATAATTGCAACATTACATCCTGGTACTGTGGAAAAGAGAACGGCCAAGACAATGGCTTTGTAGTTGATGCATGCCCCATACAAAATCCTAACAGTTCTGTCTTTGACTTTGGAATCTACCAATCAGCCCTTAAAAATATTGTTCAGACTAGAAATTTTCCACAGAAGTTCTTCTACTGCTTTTGGTGGGGGCTGCAGAATCTCAGGTGTGCATTAATGGAATCTTTTTTTATTCTTTATTTGATAATTTCTCTTATATGTGATGATTTTACAGGGCTCTAGGAATATTGTCCATGTATTAGAACGGTCCATTGTACCGGTCTAGCCGGTCCACATGGGACCAGTGGACAGAGGCGAAAGAGTTCCGCCTCCTTGTATATGCCGACCAAACCGCTTCAGCCAATAGAGCAGTTTAGGAAGGATTTTTGAGGGAGTTAGGAGGGAAATTTGAATGTAGGGACTTTAGAGATTTCCTTTTGGATTGTATGCATTAAATAGTTTATTTTTCCTAGGATTAGGGCATCTTGAATTTGGCTGAAATTTGAGATCTCTTAGTTTCTTTGGGCTCTAGTGGCATCTAGAGATTTGGGAGAGAAAGATCCTCCTCTCGAATAGAGGATCAATTGTATTGTGGTATTTTTCGTTCGTATTTTTGATTATTGCAATAAAAACTATTCTTTTTCAGGTTTTCGTTGAATTTAGAAGAGTTTTTCTTGCTGTTTTGTTTCCGAAATCGATAGCAATTACTTTAAAACATCAAGTCTTTCCTATCAAATTGGTATCAGAGTAGATTTTGGGATTGTTTGTGGGCCATTTTCTAGGAAATCAACAGTTGTTTTTGACATGTGGAAGGTATTTGTTGCTCTTTTTTATTAATATACAGATTTTTTGAACCTATAAAAATTCCAGGTATTGATGGAGGCCAAGAAGATAGATGCGTTGGAGGAACGCCTTGAAGGGGAGATGAGCCAAATAAAAGTGATGGTGGAAGATCGAATTTCATCCGTAGAAGACAAGGTTTCATTCATGGATGACAAAGTTTTTGATCTTCATGCGATGGTGACGAAGCTATTGGAAAATCAAATTCAAATGGAAGCTTCGGAGACAAAGGGACAGGTGGGAAGAACTATGAATTCTTAATTTTGTAGCAGGGAAAATGATGTAGAGATCATGGAGGAGAAAGGGGGAAGGTTTGGAGAGCCGTGGATATGGGGGGCATGAACCAAGGGGTGCTGGTTGGGAGAGAAAAGAGGGAACTTATGGTCAGAGGGGTGCTGATTTTGGAGAAAGGAGGGGAGAAAGTGAAGAGGGGTTCGAAGATGAGTGTGTAAGGGAAGATCGGGAGACTTGGGGAGGATCAAACACTTGTGAAAAGAGAAATTATGTGGGAATCTGGGGAAAAGGGGAGATCCGAAGGTGCCTAAGTTGAAGATGCCCATTTTGAAGTGGAGGATGCACATGGGTGGATCTATAAGTTGGAGAGATATTTCACCGTCAATGGGTTGACAGAGGAGGAAAAATTGATGGCCGCTGGCTTATGTTTGGAAGAAAAGGCGTTGTCTTGGTAACATTGGAGAGATCTGATGAGGCCCATACGGAGTTGGAGGGAGTTCAAGAAATACTTATTGGAACATTTCCGAACCGTCAGGGGAGGAGACTTCTATGAGCAGTTCTTTGCACTAGTGTAGGAAGGTTCAATGACAAATTATTGGGAGAAATTTGAGTACCTTGCAAGCCGATTAATAGACTATCAAAGACTATTCTAGAGGGAAATTTTATGAAGGGGCTCAATTCAGAGATTCGAGCAACAGTGAGGGTCATAAAGCCTCATGACTTGTGGGAGGCTATGGAGCTAGCACAACTAGTGGAGGGTCAGAAGTACTAGGAGAGGGGAGCCAGAGGCAGCAGTTTAGACAGCTCTTATAGGATGACAACCACCATTCTAGCACCACGGGGCCTGCATCAGGAAACATTAATGAGACTCCCAGGGAGAATTTAGTAGGAGGAAGTGGGGGGAACTTCAAAAGATTGACGGAGAGGGAGATACTGGAGAAGAGGGCAAATGTACTATACTTCAGATGTGATGAGAAGTATATTCCAGGCACAAATGTAGGGATTGAAATCTTCAGGTTCTCACCATATGTGATTTCGAGGAAATTGAGGAGGGGAGTGAGAGTATAGGAGAGAGAGATATGGAGGACAAGCTGCATCTAGACGTGATGGAGGTCTCCCTGAATTAAATGGTGGGATTCACTCCGAATCATACCATGAAGGTGAAGGGGGAAATGACAGACAGGGAGGTGATTGTGTTGATTGACAGTGGGGCTACCCATAATTTCATCTCCAACCAGGTCGTGGACCAATTGGAGGTGACATTTGTGAATACAGGGTGTTATGGAGTGATGATGGGTATATGAAAGATGGATACGGGTCAGGGGATATGTAGGGGAGTAGTGTTGACCATACAAGGGGTTTAGGTGCGGGAGGATTTTCTCCCGTTGGAGTTAGGGATCATTGATATCATCTTGGGGATGAAATGGTTGCAAACCTTAGGGACACCAAGGTCAACTGGGGAGCATTGACAATGGAGCTGATGGTGAAAAGGAGAAGGGTAGTGATCATGGGAGATGCAAGCTCACCAAAGCCATGATATCACTTAAAACCTATGTGAGAAGTATACAGGAGGTGGGGGAAGTTTATCTGATGGAACTACATAGGCTGGAGGGGATCAGATTGGAGGAGGGGCGGGGACATTCCTCTTTAAGTACAACTATTGATTCAACAGCTCAATTAGGTTTTCAGCCGCCTCAGGGGTTGCATCCTCCGCGGGAACACGAGCATGCTATCATCTGGAAGGAAGTAGTTTTGCCTCTCAATATTCATCAATATCGTCATCCTCAAATCCTGAAGGATGAGATCGAAAGATTGATTAAGGAGATGCTGGAAGCAGAGATCATTCAACCAAGTATCAGTCCATTTTTTAGTTCAGTGTTATTGATTAAATTCTTTAGCAGCAGTTTTCTTTGTTCCACCTTGAGGACAATGTGACATTTTGGAAGGGGAGTATTGTTAGACCGGTCCAATTGGTCCACACAGGACTAGTGGACAGAGGTGGAAGAGTTCCGCCTCCTTGTACATGCCGACCAAACCACTTCAGCCAATAGAGCTGTTTAGGAAGGATTTTTGAGGGAGTTAGGAGGGAAATTTGAATGTAGGGACTATTTAGAGATTTCCTTTTGGATTGTATGCATTAAATAGTTTGTTTTCCTAGGGTTAGGGCATCTTAATTTGGCTAAAATTTGAGATCTCTAAGTTTCTTTGAGCTCTAGCGGCTTCTAGAGATTTGGGAGAGAAATATCCTCCTCTCGAATAGAGGATCAATTGTATTTTTGTACTTTCGGTCCGTATTTTTTATTATTGCAATAAAAATTATTGTTTTTCTTATTTTTGTTGAGTTCAGAAGAGCTTTTCTCGTTGTTTTTCCCAATTGGTAAGAATTACTTTAAAACATCAAGTGTTTCCTATCACCATGCTAGTTCAAAACGTGGATAATAAAAGTTGAGAATTGATGTAACCTTAGCTTGAATGAACAAAAACCTAGCAACATGTATGATTTTCAGTTCACTAATATTAAATAATGGACTCTCTTCACAAACTGACCTTATGTAAAGAGATGGTACAAACTCCCTGTTTCATCTCATAACTCATAAATGACACTACACCTTACAGCTGAGTCAAAGTGCTCTGGACAGCGGGTATCAAAAAGCTTGAAGTTTGTGAAAAATTTTTGTTTGGCTCAATGACTATGTCATGGGCTTATTCATTAAGTAAATTAGCTGAGTTTTAATACTATTTTAGAACATTTAGTATATGAACAAAACATGAGCAAGTGCCATCACATTTTTACCTTTGTGTTTTACTATTAAAAATTATCGATGTATTCTAAAATTAATGGACAATAAGTTTTAAGTTCTGTGATACCCATGGATTGTTATACTTCAGAAGTCACAAACCTTTTCTCATTTGCCTGATTGACGAGTGTTGTAGGATATGCAAGAAAATGTGCAAAGAAGGCTATTTCTAGTGAATAAGAACTGTGGAAATTTAAGTTCGAGTAATGTATAATCACATTAACTTCCTCAAGCAAAGGAAGGGTTGCAAACCACATGCCTTAATGCATGAACTTATTATTATGGATCGTCCCTTTCTATGGTTTCTTGAAGTAGGAAACTTGGGGTTCAATGAAAATATTAATGCACATCCATGTCCATAAAAAAGTAAAAAAAAAAAATTATTTTCAATACGATGAGCTATATGAACTCAATAAGAATGTTCTTTTAAGCTCTCATATCATAGTCAACACTTACATTCCCTGATCTTTTTTCATTATTTTTGTTAGTTGTGGCAAAAATTCTTGTTAGTTGTGGCAAAAATTCTTGTTTTTACAAGTGACTTATGAGTTAATGTTGGGTCATACTGTCTTTTTGCAGTTCTCTTGGACAAAACCTGAGCACAAGTACTTATGTATGGGAGGTTCTCTATGCTGTTTTTGTATCTGTCTCAGGCTTGGTACTTTTTTCACTTCTAATTGGTAATATGCAGGTAATTTGTAGCACTCTGTGTGCCCCGAGTCTCTCACTCCACCAAATTATTTTAATGTTTTACTGTTTTAAATTGTATTCGACTTGTGACTGTTAGTGTGGGTGCACATTTGGATGCATGCATATGGATATGTCCAGTTTTATTTAACTCCCCTATTGACAAGTAAATGCAACATTTAAATTCATACTAATTTAATTTTAAAACACTTTTCAAGTGCTGTTTTTGATTAGGGGTTTTTTCATAAAATGCTTTTCTTTTTTAAAGAGCCATATTTTAATTACTCATGTAAATTTTCTTTTATAATTTCATCACATGTGAAAATCCTCCTATAAATAAGAGAAGCTTATAAGAGAACTCAATCAATCACATGAATATTAAACAATTGCAAGAAAGTTATTGATTTCACTCTGTTTTTTCTTTCATCTCTCTCACTAGTGTATTTAGATTCGCTCCTCTTTCTAGGCCCTAATTTGTATCAGTGTGTATGTACACACTCTTAATACTTTATGCCCTCTTGCATTGTTATATTTGATGTGGGAAATTTTTGATTGGATAACAATTTTCAAGCTATTTTCAGTTTTGATTTTTCAGTATACCGATCCACATGCTTTAGAATTCAAGTCGTGGGTTCTTTTTTTGTTTCAGTTTCTAGAGTGTTTTAAGACAGTAGAATATGTACATAGAGCCTTGGCTAAAGCATATTTGCTTGAAATAAATCCTTTTCTATTTTTACCAAGCATAGCCCATTCAAAAAAAATTATTGAAACACTTTTCGGCTTTTTTCTAATTACTATTGTTCTAAACTAATTCTGAGATGGTTTATATATTGCAAATTTGCAATGCTATAAGCTACAAATAAAGTTATACCATTTAGGGGAAAAAATTATCATGCCAATCAAATTAGAAGTCCAGAAAATTAAATGTTTGGTTTTGGTTATAGTAAACAAAGAAAATAAAGTTTATATGGGTGCAAAGCACAACCTAATCACAAACATGTACTTGGCAATAATTTATCTTGGTGCTCAATCTTTGAAAAAGTTGGCTAAGACTTTAAAGAGTACTAATTTTTTGAATGGCTGATTAGTTATAAGCAGTGCTGACAGCTTGGCCTATGTTGGTGTCCGCCACTGCTGTGCAGGTCTTTTGCCTTATTCCAGAGAGTTCCATATTCCTACCCTATTCTGTGATGATGTCTATGTATATGTAATACAAATGTAGTTTTTTCTTGTTCTTCACTATCACATAGATGCTCTGTACATTTTCTTTTCCATCATCTTTGTTTCCATGCTTTAGAAGTTACTAAGAATCTGTCATTACAAATGTAGATGCGGCATGATTGATATTTTTACATATACAGACTTATCTTCAGTCCACCACTGTAAGAGTAGAAGAAATGAGAGTAAAAAGGCGAGATTCAGAGCAATGGATGTCTCATCGCTTACTTCCAGAGAGCTTGAGGGATAGAATTCGTCGGCATGAACAGTACAGATGGCAAGAGACAAGAGGCGTTGATGAGGAGAGCCTCCTTCGAAACCTTCCTAAGGATCTTAGAAGAGATATCAAGCGACACCTTTGTTTGGCTCTGCTCATGAGGGTATACTTTTTTCAATTATGTTCTTTTAAGTATCATGATATAGATTTCTGCATTTTTGCTTATGATATAATAGTAAAGTCTTCGGTCTTCCTCTTTTAAGATTTTCTAAGTTGGTAATGCATGAGAAATGGTGAGGAGTAAGGAATCATAATTTTCTTGCTTAATTAAAAAAGTTGTGTTGTTAAATCAATGTTTAAAATTGCATAATCGGGTATTGAGGCATTTTTCGTTCGTGAGGCGAGGCGTAAGCCTCAAGGCATTTTGAGGCGTAAGCCTCAAAATTAAAAGATTGCGTAAACATAAAATGATAAATTTTTTTTATACTGAGTAAAAAATATAAAACATAAAAAGACACAAGATATGAAGCGAAATCAAAATATCCCAATAATAAGACAATATGAAATATAATTCAACTCATAAAGAAGCAGACTAACACTAACAACTATTAGTGCAATATATCAAACCCCTAAACATAATGCTTCAGTTATTCTACATTAAGAAAACTTATGCAAAGCATGCACTCATGAAGAAGCAGATTAACACTAACAACTATTACTAAAGATTATGAATACAACAATATGCTGGGCAGCCGGGGGTCCAAGGGGGCACTGCCCCTTGGCGGGGTTCGACCTACGTGTACCGAGCGGTACCGAGCATGTACCGAGCATGCACCTAGCACTACTGAGCATGTACCTAGTGGTACCAAGCTTTGTTGTACCGAGTGGTTAGATTTTTTCTTTTAACTTTAAGAGGCGGACGCATCTAAAACATGAGGCGAGGCACGCCTCAGTGAACTTGAGGCATACGCCTCAATGCCAGCTCTCATTGCGTAGGCTTTGAGGCGTAAAAGTTTAAAATTGCGCTAAGGCGCGCCTCTTATTGCGCAATTTTAAATCATGTGTTAAATTAACCAATGGAAAATAGTGACGAAGTAGAATCTTTTATATAACAACATTGGCACATAACTATGATAAAAAATAGGTCATTGCTTAAGGTTTTAAACTTGGTGGCCCTACTATGAAAGTTTGGTTTCGATGATTTAGGTTATTTTGATGGTTCTTTGTTCAATGTTGTTTTGGTTTTCATTGATTTTTATCTAGAAATGTTTGAAGAAGTATAGTCAAATACAAAGTTGATAAAGTTAAAATAAAAGACAATTTTATCATGTGAAACAATTTTTGGATATTTACTATGTTGATCATAAGCCTTAAGAATGCTAATTATAGCAAAGTAGAAAATTAAAAAAAAAACTACTTTGAATTTTATTTCTTGATTCTATACAAAATATGAAAGTATATATAGACTTTTTTAAAAGTCTTATAATGGAAATAATTCAAAGCAATTTACAAAAAAAGAAATAAATCTCCAAGATGGGCTGGTGGCTAGACAAGGAATAGGAGTTGCTTGAATTGCAATCTAAGTGCCATATGAGGATCAATCTAATTGATAGAACCCCTAATCTATGTGTTCAAGGATTCCTGCCAATAATGGCTGACTTGTGGGTCCCACAATCATTCGACACTTTCCCTCAAATTGAATGATATTATTATACAATTTCAAGTTTACTTATCATGTTTTTTGAATATAGGGTTGCAAAGTCTTTTGGTAAGAATATTTGCAAGTTAATTTTTTGATAGCATATATGGAGTTCAAATTAACCCATTTTCTAATTTTTCTTTTATAAAATGTCTATCCACGTCCAGATTCTTAGTACGATTATGTTATTTTGGATTATGAGTAATGTTGAGGGTGGATTTATTATTTCAATGTCTTTATTGATTTTTCTCGTTTGATTTGTAAAAGTTCTAAAATGATTTTAATTGACAGAAGCTAGCCAATTCTATAGCAGTGGATCTAAATTCAAGTTCAATTAGATATTCAACATGTTTCTTGCTATCACAAAATCCAGGCAGGGATTTTCTATCTATTGGTGATTCAGCATAATCTATATTAATATATACCCTTCAGTTTATAAAGTATCCTATTTTTAATAAATAGTTTTTTATCAAAATTTCATTTAAGATATTTGAGGATTATATAAGCAGCTTGAAGGTGAGACTCTTTGGATCTATGCATAACTTGATTGATAAGGCTCATATATGCATAACTTGTCCATGTATACTTCTTTGTTTTCATTATTTGCGTCCAATTTTTGATCTGGTTTAGTTGGGATTTCAAATTTGCAATTGGTCATAATTGTTTCTTTCAATAGATCCGAGTTATATTTTTATTAAGAGAGGAATATTCCTTGTTTTAATTGAGCAATGTCTATCTCTAAGAAGTGTTTGAGTTTGCCCAACTCTTTGATCTTAATTTCTTCAACAAGTTTTTTCTAAGAGATTCGTTTTCTCTATTATCACCACCTGTGATAATTATGTTGTCAACGTGTATGATGAGAATTGGGATTTTGCCATTAGTGCTTTATAAAGAGGATACAATTTCCTTGGTTTTATTTGTATCTAACTTCATACATGACTTTTTTGAATATATCAAAATATACTCTCAGAGATTGTTTAAGGTCATATAAAGCCTTTCCATAATTTGCATTTTTTATTCTTTGTGAAAGAACTATCAAATTGAGGCAGTGGATCCATATATACTTTTTAAACATTCGCATATAGGTAAGCATTATTTATATCATATTTTTTCGTGAACCATCCACAATTGACTCCACAAAAATTAAGATGCATAATGTATTCTTTTTTATGATAGGAGCAAAAGTTTCTTCGATGTCAATTTCATCGAACTAATAATCCTTTGGCTACTAGTCTCACTTTATATCAATCGAAGTTTCTCTTTACTCTTTATTTTGCAGAAAAAATTCATTCACATCCTATTGTTTCTTCTCTTTTGATACATCGACAATCTCCGAACTATTCTTATATGGCATCATTCCAATTCTTATTTTCAAATATCTTAAATAGATTTTGGGGTATTGTAAGGGAATTAGAGTAGTTATTCATAAGAAATGCTTTATGGGTTAGAGAAATTTTTTTTTGAAAATTTGTGTTTTTAGAGATGGGATTCACAGGAGAATATGTAGGGATGGGTGGATAATGGTTAGCTTAAAACACTTTCGAGTTTCAAGCTTGTTGGAGATTTTGGCTACGCTTATTCCTTTTTTAATTGACTTGAACGGATACCTTGTTTCGATATTTTGGAGTTTGTGATGTAGGAATGTCAATATGAAATATTGAGGTTTTATCAAACATCTTCTAGATGAGAGTTGTATCCTGGAAGATGAGTATGATTGAAAAAAGTTTACTTCTCATCAAAGGTGACATTTTTTGAAGTAAGAGATTTTTTGATGGTTGGATGGTAACACTTCTAGCCTTTTTGAGTGAAAGAATATCTAATAAAGATATATTTGAAAGCTCTAGGATCAAGTTTACCTCTATGTATGTTGACCCCTATACATCAGACCACGCAAGAAAGGAAAACTCCCTCGCCGAATAAGAAAAGCGAGCGGGGGCCGGGGCCGAATTTTCGGAGCCCACAATGTAGTATACCGATGTGACCATAGGCAAGACACCCAAAGATTTTTGGATAAAATTTTAAGACGTATTTATTGAATTGAGATTTATATTTCTTTATTTATTTTTATATGAAGTAATTTCTAACGAACTTAATTTTAATGTTTGAGTTTCCTTTTTATCTTGTCATTTGATTAGTTTCATATTATTTTATTATTATTATCATGAGTAAAAGTAACATTCTGACTCATTGTCCTTTTAATGTCATTGTTTAATTATTAATTTTATGAAAAAGCAAAAGCAAATGAGACTTCTATGATGCACTAATACTTCTCCTCAAAGCGATATAGATTATCCGACACATTAGACACAACACACCTCCGACATGTGTCAAACATGCTGAAGATGTGTTTGATTGAAAAAATATATATATTTAAAATAAATTGGACACGAATGTTCGATATACACATGTTAAATATTTTGCGAAATATTTTTAAATATAATTTTTTAATTGGTCAAAATTATAATTTAAAAAATAAAAATATAATTTTGTATTTTTTTCTCATAGACCCAAATCTATTGGTTGTACTCAATACTCTATTCCTCAAGCATTTTCATTTTCATCTCTCTGATGGATCGTGGTTTCATAATAATGTCCGATGCCGACCCATTACAAAATCAACCTTTCAAAACCTTCTCAACATAGAAGTTTGATAGTGTCTTGATATTTCATTTATATCTAAAAGGTCTTACAACCAAACCTATTTGTATGGAAACAAATCCCAATAATAGGATTAAGTAGTTATTTTTCCTTATCACTCAACATGGGGATGAGATTATTATTCTTTTTATCATACACAAAGAACTTAATATCTAAAATTTGGTTCGATCCTTTGTAGCCTAGTTCTTTTGCTTGGCATGTAAATATTTGTTTTTTTTTTCTAGGTTAAACTAATTGACTTTTACTGCATCACCTTCATTTTATTTGATATAATTTTATGTGAACACGTTTATTACAAGTAAATATCATTCCATTCCGTATTCTTTTGTAGGTTCCAATGTTTGAAAAGATGGATGATCAACTAATGGATGCCTTGTGTGATCGCTTGAAACCTGCTTTATACACTGAAGAAAGCTGCATTGTTCGTGAAGGAGATCCTGTCGATGAAATGCTCTTCATCATGAGAGGGAAGTTGCTGAGTGTGACCACAAACGGGGGAAGGACTGGTTTCTTCAATTCTGAGTATCTTAAAGGCGGTGACTTCTGTGGCGAAGAGCTGCTCACTTGGGCTCTCGACCCACATTCGTCTTCCAGCCTTCCAATCTCAACGAGGACGGTGAAGGCGTTATCTGAAGTCGAAGGTTTTGCTCTGTCAGCTGATGATCTGAAATTCGTTGCAACCCAATTCCGAAGACTCCACAGCAAGCAGCTCCGGCACACATTTAGGTTTTATTCACAGCAGTGGAGAACTTGGGCAGCTTGTTTTATACAGGCTGCTTGGCGTCGCTATTCACGCAAGAAGCTGGAGGAATCCCTCCGTGAAGAGGAGGGCAGGTTGCAGGCTGCACTTGTGAAAGGCAACAGCAATTCACCAAGCCTTGGAGCCACAATTTATGCCTCCAGGTTTGCTGTTAATGCGTTACGGGCCTTGCGACGAAATGGGACGCGGAAGACCCGGCTACAGGATAGGCTGCCAGTGATGCTGTTGCAGAAACCCTCAGAGCCTGATTTCACCGCCGAGGAACACTAGCAAATCTGTTGATATTTGTTTCTGTGTCACTCCTTCGCTGGTGGGTTTGAAATTATTTTATGATCTATGGCTTTTGGGTGTACTGTTATGTGTGCTTGTGATGGCAGAGGACATCCAACAGTTTTTAAGGCATTACCATTGGAGCGAGAAATGTTATCCAAGCCATGGTGATGTCTGTATGCTGCTGTTTGTACATAAATCAAACTAAGAGGGGCAATTTTTTTCTTATAAGTTTCTCCTTTTTAGTATTGGATGACATATGTAATATTGTAGAGGAAATTTATTACGAGTGCTACTATTTCGACCAATTAATTAAGGGAAGTTTTCTTATTATGAGTGTATCCGGCCAGTGACTTTGCTCAGACCAAAGGAAAAATTTTAAGACTAAGCACGTTTAATGTTTGTATTAAGTGTATAAGCATGAATTATAAAAAATATAAAATTAGGTAAGTCACCCGTTATCATGGCGACTTATGTTGACTTGGCATAGCTGAGTCAATTTGCCGTTATACGGATACAAAATAAGAATGAAAATGAAAAATTTTGTAAGTCGTCTATTAAATGGGCAACTTTGACCTTGATAAGAAAACGACTTTTCCTTCTCGATGTCTTCCTCTTGAGTCGGAAAACTTACCTTCCTCGAGCCATATGCTGTCGATCTTCGCTTCTTACCGTCGTTTGGAGTCTTGAGGTAAGGGATCTTGTAATTTTTAGTCTAATTTATGTTAGATAATTCATGGTTAGCATTTCTTTTGCTTAGATCAGTTAAATTTTAAGAGAGAAGTGTAGATCTAAACATTTTGGTATTTTTTGTTGAATGTTTTTACCGTTTTTGAGTTGTAGTTAGGGAAGAATATGTACGTTTAATGAATTTTGAGAAATATGTTGTGTTTTTTTTTTTTTTTTAAGTGAAGTTGGAAGCAATGTCGAAGATTTAATTTGATTAGAGTAAATTTGGTTAAAACTAATTTTTTGGAAAGGTTGAACAATTAGTTATTATTATTTTTTGTTTGGTGATGATTTTGTTATTTATTTGGTTTGAAGTTATTTTTTATGTAATGTGTTAATTTAAAGTTAATTTTTTGTATTACCAAGTTATATATAATTTTAAGAGGTTAACTTTTATATTGTATTAAGATAATTTTTTTGTTAATTTGTAAATTTTTTCTCATAGAAATAGTAAGTATTGTAATTATGATATAGTATACAGAGTTGAATTTGTCGATCTTACGTAATGAAACATATCATTTTAGTAATGAATAGATGTGCTGCAAGGTTCATTCTAATATATAGAGGCAAATTATACGTGGATGCCAATTTTGCCCCAACTTATTATGGGGGTAGGAATCGTCCCATGAAAGTGCCAAAAATATCAACTTAGAGCAATTTAAGTTAAGGATTCTCAAAGCCCCTAAGTATGATGCTTCAAAATTTTTTGTGAATTTAGTATATCGAGTTCCCGTGGGCAATGAATTTGTCGCTTCACATGTTGAGGATGATGAGGTTTGTGAAGTTCTATAATGCTAAGTTTCAACAAAATTTCTCATCGTGCCATATGCCCCAAACAATTAGGGTGGCAGGGAAAGGCTGGGCCAAGGCTCAATCCCCATTGGGTGTTATTTGCTTATGGAGGGGATCACTTGCCTCTTAAGGCTAAACCAGGCCCTTGGCTTGGTTAAAAGCCTTTAGGAGAGCTTTGACCTCTCATTAGCTTCCTTCCAGCAGCCTAAACTAAGGATAAATGGTGTTAGAGTAGTCCTTTGACCATTTGGAAAGGTTTGAGCTTGCATTGATTTTTTTTTTTTTGACCAGTCAATTAGTCAAAGTGAGATGAGGTGGTAGGAAAAGGGTATGAACAGCTGGTTGAGCAAGAGATCCAAAACCTTGGAGAGGAACACTTAAAGTTTAGAGGGGTTGACCATTTAAGAGAGGTTTAAGTGTATTTTTTACTTACTTTGACTAGTCAACAAGGTTAAGGGTAATGTTATGGTAGTTAGCAGATTTAGGGAGTCACTTGAGGTAGGTTGAACAGGGATCAAAGGTCTAAGGTCAATGGGACAAAGAATGGGGTTATGTAGGGTGAGGTTTAATCAAGGATCTTTAGTTGACTTGGTAAAATCCAAGGGGTTTTAGCCCATTCATGGCCTACAGGTATTTAAGGCATGAACTGGAATGGGAATGGAAGATTGAAGGGCTTGATTGGATTGAGCATAATTGAAACAAGTGATTTAACCCAAAGGGGTCACCTTTGACCAAACTTTCACTTAGTTGACCAAGTAAAATATTTACTCGATCAACCTTTCTAGTAAGGTCCAAACCCTTGGGAGAGGTATTCAAAGGAGTTTGACTGAGTTTGGAATTGATTTAAGGTTGGACTAGGTGAGCACATAGCTTATGTTTGGTTTAGTCAACCTAGGTTGCCTTGGTCAACCAGGTTTACCCAAGGACAAGGGTTGAGCTCAATAGATTTCAAATGATATTTAGAATATAGTAGAGGTAATTCTAAGGATTGGATTGGTCATTTTGGTTAATTTGACTATTTTGACCAAAAGGGCATGTTTGGTCAACCAAGTTGACCCAGGGCCTGGGTTTAGGTCCAATGGATCTCAAATAACATTTGATATTCATTGGATGAGATTTTAAGGATTAAAGGGTTTTGAAGCATGTTGGCTTTTGGCCAAAAGTCCAAAAATCCCTTTAAAGGGTATTTTGATTATTTTTACCTCTTAGTCAACTCTGGGTCAAACTAGGGATAAAAAAATGTAGGTTATTGATCAACAAGTCCTAATAGAGATGATGGAAGTTGTTAGAGGGTTTGGAGAGAATTCTGAAGTCATATTCCATAGGGTGACTAGTCTAGTGGTATAGGCCATAAATATTTGAAAGTTTTGCAGCCTTTAGAAATAGATTTAGTTTATGGGGTTAGACATCTCAAAATGAGCTCAAATTTGGAGGGCTATTCCTATGAACATGTCTTATCAATATGCAACTAACATATAATGAATCGGAGGTCATTTGATGTGGTATCCAAGTGATACAAAATTCACCCATAAAGGGTTTTGGGACTAAGGCTTTTGGCATTGGATCTGGACTTAATAATTTTGGGTTTGAATTGGACTGTTCATATCAATTTCAATCACATGAATGGTTGAGATTAATTGAACATGGTTGGAATTTGATAGAAAATTGATCTATGACATAGAATTGGGAATTGAACTGGATTTTGGATAGGGCTTTATCACGGCTCTAGATTGGAGTTTGGATGGGAATGTAATTATATTTGATTAGATTTAGATTTTGGTTGGTTGTTGTATGATTGACACATAGAGACCTTCTAACCATTAGGTCACCCAAAAGAAACCCACTTGGGTCCTAGTGACCTCATACAAAAATGAGGTCAATAACTATATAGTGCTAATAATTTTCTTTCATACCCAAGCAGTGTGCTTGCCATTCCCTACTATCCTAATAGATTTAATCATGCCCTCTACCTGCTCCCTCAACTCAGCTACTTTCTCAACTAAGGATTTAGGAGTCCTATAATTCCTACTACTACTACTACTACTAGGCTAACTAGTCAAATGAGGCTCCATATGATCACCCTCCTTTACACCTAATCTTTAAAAAATCTTAATTTTTCTTTTAGTGAGCACTAAAATAGGAACCATTTACTCTTCACTAGGATCTCCCATCACTCCAGCATTTGCTTATAAAATATAAATAAGAGTGGCTTAACCCAAGCACATAATTAGTACCTCTAAAAATGCAAGTCAAGGAAGAATAAATAAGAATTTCCACATCAATGGTATACCCAACTTGAATAGCATAATTAATAATAGCACAATCTTTGATTACCTCACAAATATTTTTGTTGGGAAAAATTTAAGTAGAAATAAAGTAATACCATGCATTAAATAGTTGGGTTAAACAAGATGAAATAAAATTAATAATTGTGTTCTCCCTTTTCTTCTACACAGCCCCATTATTAGGCTCACACAGCACTCTCAGATTGTCCTCAAAATCAAAGGCACAAGAAAAAGGGTATACTCATCAAACTCAAAATTTGGAAGCTTATAAAGATGGCTCATAGTTACAGATCAAAGATTATCCACTTACCTCATACATAACACTTATTATCCACAGCCTCTTTCCCATTGGCGAAAAAACTCCTTCATTATACTAAAAACTACTTCATTGGGTTCCTCACAAAATTGCTCCTAACTCCAATTTTTAAGCATTTACATTAATTTTCCTCCCGAGTTTTGAACGCCTCTCTTAGGGATCAACTGATTTGATATCACTATAATCCCATACTTTTGCTTGGATTTAGAAGAAATGAATATGCTCTTATCATAAGATGATAAAGATCACTTTTTACCAAACATTTTTAATTTCATTTATTACAAAGATCAATAAAAGAAAATGTAGAAAACTAGGAAGGAATGAAGGAAAGAAAGAACTAAAAAAATTATGAATAGGTACTCTATATATAAACATATTAAGTACTACAGCGCTCAAGAGAGCAGCATCAGTGTGCTTAAAACATAAAAAAAATGATAAAGAGTCAAACAAGCAAATGTTGTAGTGGTAGAGACACATGGAATAACAAGATAGTCATTGAAAAATGAAGCACCAGCTTTTTTACTTGGGAAATGCAATAGCGCTTACCATGCACAAGTGTTGCGGCACTTACAAAGACTACCATCATGGTGCTTTAACTATCTTAATAATGATTTTGACCCAACATTATGAAGCTTGCTATAGCGCTGCAATGCTTAATAATGTGTCATAATGTAAAAATTATGAAAGTATGACATATTGAAAACACTGACATTAGTACTATAAAGATAACAAATCAACTCTATAGCTCTTGAGAAAGTAGTGCTGAGGTGCTTGGTAAGGCAAAATAGTGGCATGGTCTTCAATGATACATTGCCGTGATGGTGTAATCCAAAATATTTTCCTGAGGCTTCAGCACTACAATATTATTTTTAAATGCTACAATGCTTGGAATGCAATTTCTACTATGCTTCAAATACTAACGTTGCAGTATTAACTCAATTTGTAGTATAACAATTTTTTTCCTCACAAAGATTTTCATAACATAGTCAAACTCACTATTAATGATTTTATAGATAATACAGTACACACACATAACATAAATTATAAAATATATCATAAAAACATAAATTATAAAATAAAATCTAAAAAATATAGAAAAAAATTGGGTTACCTCCCAAGATAGTGCTAAATTTATAGTCTTCAGCCAGAATGGCCTAGATATGTCACATGGTTATAATGAATCACTGCCACTTCTCAAGTGGTCTCCACTG